GGGGAGTGGTCGTGAGAACATGCAATATGTATGAAAACAAATACATAAAAAGGGTAATTTTTTTAAAATTTCAATTCTAGATATCACCACAAAATATAATAAAGGAGGCGTTACATCTAATAGAGGCTAAGCCCATGTTCTTGGTTAACAGATTCCTTTAGGTGTGGCATATGATAGTAATCCATGAAACATGAGCAGAAGTCTGTTGGAAAACATTTGGGAAGTAATTAACACTTAAATGAGATCTAAGATGCAGTCACCTGTCTGCTTCTGAAGTTGTTAGCATTCTGATGTAACTAGAATTACATCAGAATTTGGGACGAGGGGACTCACTGAGGATGAAAGAGCAGAAGTATAGAAAAGAGTCAGTTCCTAATACTGAGCCACTAACTTCATACCTTAGGATTTACTACTAGACATATATAAGCTACTTAGAGCTGAAAACAATCTGCAAATAGTAGCCTTGGTTTTCATGCTAGAGATCTAGAGACTGTTTTAAAATTCCGAACAGATATTGGGCTACAAGAGGGGGTACTGATGTGTTAAAATCTGGGAGAGGAGCTTCTAAGTGGGAACAACGTAAAGGCCATAAGAAAAAAAGAAGCTTGGAGAGGTCTGTGGTTCTCATGCAAGGGATGGAGGGAAAGTAGAACGGGGCAGGTCAGAGTCATAGGCAGGAGCCTTGTAGCTTTGGTAAGTGGTACAGATTTACGTATTTCCAGTTTCAGTGAGAATCACTGGTAGGTTTCAGCAGAGACCTGATACAGAATCTGATTTATGCTTCAGACGGCTCCTGCATGGAGGGTGGATGAGAGGGGGCTGGGGCTGGGAGGAGAGGAAAGCTGGTTAGGAAGCCGTTGCAGCAGTCTCAGAACAAGAAGGCTGTGGGCTGGACTAGGGGCACAGCACTGGAAACGGTGACAAGAGGTTGCACTGGGGATATATGTTGGAGATAGAGCCAACAGGCTGACTGACAGATTGGGTGCAGAATGTGAGGAAAAGAGAAATCACAGAGGATCCCCAGTGTTTTTATCTTGAGCAACTAGGTAGATGTGGCTGTCATTTACAAAGGTGAGGAAGATCAGGAAGACAGAGGGTGAGAGGAGGTTGGGTCAAAATGCAGTTACTTTAGCTATTTAAGTTTTCGAGATACCTTTTCAAAATCCAAGTGGAGTTGACCAGGGAACTCAGGAGTGAGATTTAGGTTGGATGATATAAATTTGAGTCATCAGATCAGTTTAAACCATGGGCCTATATGAGATCATCTAGGGAGAAAATGTAGCAACAACAGAGAAGAGAAACAAAGACAGACCCTAGGGCCCTCCAACGCTGAGAGGAAGAGAGGCTGGCAAAGAAAACAGAGAAAGTACAGCCAGTGAGGCAGAAGGAAAATGAGGTTGGTGAGGTGACAGGGATGCCTGGAAAAGGACTTTCAAGAGTTAAAAGAAATGTGCAACAGGGCTTAGTGTCCTGGGAATTCCCCTTAATACACTGAGGTTATAACTACGTCCTGAGAGGTCAAGTGGGAGCAAAACAGTGAACTGACCATCAGCTTTGCAAGACGTGGGTCATTGGTGACTTTGGTAAGAGCCCTTTCAATGATGCAATAGAGACAAAAGCCGAATGGAGTGGATGCAGGAGAGAAAGGGAGGGAAAGAAATGGAGGAGGAAAGTACTGATGACGCAGGAAGTACACGCTCCCAGGCAGGTGTAGGCAACCATTCTCATGGGAGGGAGTGCATACGTGGAATTCTTCCCAACCCACCAGACAGTCTTCCAGGCCGAATATTCAAGAGTTAGCCACTATGTGGGAGAATTTAAACTGGTCAGAAAGTCTTTGTGGCTTCTCCATTGTTAAAGAACAAAATTCGAATGAGCAAATTTGAACATATAATTGGCTTTATTAAGCGATTCATGAA